GATCTTGGATTAAATCAACATCAAGTGAGAGGAAGAAGAGAGTCAAGATTCAAGGAAGTCATCTGTACAGGACATGGGAGGATGGAACTGAGTGAAGAGTGAGAGTTGGCTGATTCCACATGGAAGACCTTTCAGTTGAGACTAAATCAGGATAAGAGCAAAGCATATAGGAAAATCATTCTGCATTTGATCATCCTATGCATATTGTTAATGGTAGCAATCCAAACGAACAATGAATAATGCCATTCAATATTAAGTGAGAAAAATATGAACCAGATATGTGTAAACCACCAAGGTCATATTCATAAAGGTAAGTTCTGCTTTCCAGGTTTAAAGACAAGAAAACATTGAATTTCAATAGCAATATCCCCCAAGCAATCATCACAAATTTCTTCATTAAATATACAAATTAGAATTACATCACTTGACTCAAGTAAAAAATTAAAAACAGGAGACGCAAAAAGGACCATGTACCACAAGAAATGACAACTGGTGTATATTACTTGAAGTGTTTTACAAATTTAACAAATAAAATCGAGATATAAATACTGATTGCTGGAAATCATTGGATACATTTTGTACTCAAAGATACAGAAGAAGGAAAATAACATCTTGTGGGAAGGAGATAAAATATCAAAAAAATAAAATAAAAAACCTCTCGTAGTTGAGAATTGATCATTCAGACTGCTTTTAAAAGTGTTTTCAGTCTAGTTGAAAATAACCGTAAATATTACCAATTATGAGTTCAATTATGGTAAAAGTGTGTAATGTGATAGTATTAGGGGAAATATTTAAACATCCAAATACTATTATGTTCTTACTTTATACTGGCAAAAAATATATATATAGAGAGAAAATAATGAAAATAATCTCACTATGGGGGCTGGAGTGATAGCACAGCGAGTAGAGTGTTTGCCTTGTACGCGGCTGACCAGGGTTTGATTCCAAGCATCCCATATGGTTCCCTGAGCACTGCCAGGAGTAATTCCTGAGCACAGAGCCAAGAGAACCCCTGAGCATCATTGGGAGTGACTCCCAAACAAAAAAAAAATCTTCAGGTGTAAATGAATTAGAATGAATTTCAGGAAAATAAGGAATCAGTATTCACCCCAAATGAAGAATAGGTGAAGACTGATCAATATACTACAGACGATTTGGATTTCAAATTCTGGGAAAGAGCACATTCCAATATAGTTTTTTAAGAAAATTTTCAGATGTATTTATTGTTGGAGCGATGGCACAGAGGTAGGGCGTTTGCCTTGCAGGCCACATGCCCGGCAGAGCCAGGTTTAATTCCTCCGCCCCTCTCGGAAAGCCCCGCAAGCTACTAAGAGTATTTCGCCCACACAGCAAAGCCTGGCAAGCTACCCGTGACGTATTTGACATGCCAAACACAATAACAACAAGTCTCGTAATGGAGATGTTACTGGGCCCGCTCGAGCAAATTGATGAACAATGGGAGGACAGTGCTACAGTGCTACGGTATTTTATTTATCGGTTAATCCATGATCAGTGAGTGTGAATAGGTCTCAAAATTCACCCAATATCAAGAAGTAACCAGTTCCAAGAACCCCTGAAGATATTTCAACCTTAATCGACTTCATTTCCTGTGTAAAGAGAAGATAGATAGGCTGGAAATGTTCTGCAGTGCCATCCAGCATAAATATTCTGGAAACTTCTCTCCATCCTAGGCAAATTACCAGGAGCTTCAACTTGTGACAACACTGAAACACAAACTAAATCTGTGGGAGAAAGCTGTCCTCTTAGAGGAATCCCAAACCTCACGCTTCATGAGTTTCATCCTGAAAGTCAGGATGATTCTCAAGTTCTCCCACCTTATTCTTAAACATCTCCACCTTCCTCTTCTCTAGCAATATTTCTTTAGAAGCCTGAAAAGGTTTGACTTATAAATCCTGGTACTTTGTGTTCAGAAGTAACATTCACTGCATTTCTTGAGATGTGAAGGGAAAAATCGATTTGATTCGTGTAGAAAAGTCAAGCTTCATGCAGACTGGAGGGTGTTGATGCCTACCAGCACAGGCAATTAATCTGGTGGAAAACCAGACTTTGCAACAGAAGAGACTGATGCCAAGGAGAAGAAAATGGTTTTGGTTATCTGATCCTAAACATGTATAATGCACAGAGACCCAATGCTAGCTTCGGAATAGATTCTAGTTTATGGCACACGAGTCACTCTAACTAGAGGAGCATCTGGGTCACGGGCTGGAGAGATGGTTCCAAGGCCAGAATGTAGACTTTGCACGTCTGAGGCCTGGGCTCCATGCCAGGCTTTGCGCTCTGAGCACTCTTGAGTGTGGTCAAAACCAACAGTAACAAAAAAGCAATCTCTGGTAGCAAACTGCACTTCAGTATTATAAAATTCAGTTTGACTTAGGGTCACATAAACTTAAAATCACTATGTATAGGGGCCAGAGCAATAGTTTGTAGGTAGGGTATTTGTTTTCTATATAGTCAATACCAATTCAATTCCCTGAAACTCAGTGGGTCCCCTAAATGATCCCGAGAGCAGAGCCAGGAGCAAGTACTGAGAACTGTGGAGTATTTCCTCACCCCAAAATGAAAACCACTACATATACTTAAGTATTTTATCTACACAAAATGGGACATAAAATTCTTCTTAGAAGTAGAAGAGGCATTCCTAATATAAGAACTTAGGTGTCTAAGAAAAATGTTAACATTTAACAAAGAGTAACAGACTAATAAAAGTCTTGACAAAAATCCCAAAATCTATACTCTTGCCCTGAGTGATAAATATACATCTGTATTTAGTCAAGAATGAAATTCAATAAAATAATTTTACTTCCAATTGAACTAGGTGATGATTCTATTTTTGAGGCCACATATGGTGCTGCTCAGGGACCATATTCAGTGCTGGTGTGTTGGCTGCAGGCAAGGCAAGCACCCTACCCACTGGACTATCCTACCACTCAATGATTCTTAACTAGTCACATCCAATCTAAATTACAAAGAAACCCAAAGACACAGGTGAACATATTTTCTAAAAATAAGCCACATTCACTAGACAGCTTAAAAATATAGTTGATTAAGTGTCAGCTATGATTAAATTTTCCGGAATACAATTTTATCTTATTCCTTTCAAATATAGGACAATCTAAGCTGCCAATGAAATGTGGCTGAAGTTTAATGCAACAATTGAATGAATTGGATGTGAAAGAGCCGTTTCATTCACATATAATCAGACTATCTCCTTTTCTCCTGCCCTGTGCTTTGATCAAAATACTTTGTCAAATACAAGGGAAATCTTGGTCGTTTTTTTTTTTTTAATTCAAGGTCAATTTAAATTCTTGTTGTTCAATTTTAAACCTGGTAAAGGAAGAAAGGGTAGCTTTCCATGGCTACACTTTTGTCAAATTTTCTTCCTTATTATGATATTTTCTAACTTGGTAGAAAAACAAAAGACATTTTGCAACAGCAATATGTTCTAAAAATTTTCTTGAGCCCTTTATATTCTATTGAAGCTCTAACTGGAAATTTCTGGGAGGATTATTTCACTTATATAATGTTACTTTAAAATTCCAAGTAAATATTACTTAGTTACCTGAGACTGCTACTAAAAATAACAGTTTCTGGTTTTATGTGATTTACAGTCTAGTTATTCAAACTACATATTACCTTGATCAAGAGGTTGAAAAATTTTGCTCCATCAATAAAAATTTAATTTGTATTCTATGCTAAGAAAATCAACATCTCTTTTAATCTTTATAGACTTACGGGGGTAGGAGCAATAGTACAGCAGTAAGGATACTTGTTTTATCTCCAACACCCTCTCTCATCCCTCAAGCTCCACCAAGATGGATTCATGAGTACAGAGCCAGGAGATAGCCATGAGCTCTGCCAGGTGTGGCCCCCAACTAAGATCTTCACAGCCTGATGATTCTAATTTTATTATTTTCCCATTTAAAAAATTTAGTTATTTTTAGTTAGTGGCCACATCTGGTATTTCCTGGGAAATAACACAGGGCCACGGGTAGAATTTGGAACTCCCATATGCAAAATGTATATCCTATCTTCCTAACCCCTATTACCTTTCTAAGATGAAAAGTCTAGTCTTAGGAAAACTAAGGTTTATCTAGGGAAAAACTAGTCTCTGTTGGATGTAGGAATAAAAATTATGCGTATTTAAATTCACACATCTTCTTTGTAAATACATACAATGATTATATTTACTGCTAAATTATATGTTTAACAAAATACGTTATAAATGGATTTTAAAATGGTATAATACCAAAGAAAACACATAGTCCAATCTCTAATAAAATATTAAATGCTGATTGTCTTTGTTGTAGCAAATTACACTATGGAGGAGAATTTAGCTAAGAAATAAGTCTATTACCCAATGCCCATGTTGGATGTTTCCCAATTTATGAAAGCATGCTGCATAATCTCTTATAAAAATGCAATTCTAATATGAGTTATAAATCTAATTTAACCAAATTACAAAATAATCATTGAAAAAATAAAATTGCATATGGTAGTTCTTCTTGGGAAATTATAATTTTGCCTTGCTGAAACTGCAATCTTCAAAGCTTTGCAAATAATGATAAAGTTCATCCTACATCTTCTGAAAAGAGTCGGTTATAAAGTCATAAATTCTAAATTAAGTACAATTTTGAAACAGCCTAGTTAAAAATTATCTCTAGGCTATCAAATTTCTATTTCTGTATTATAAAGCAAAGAACTGACTATGTTTTTTTTAAAAAAATGACTGAAAGAAACCGGTGGCATACAAGGCATTTGTAGTCACTGTTTGAAAAAGAAACACTAGTTTTTCTGAGCTAAATTTTCTACAGGGCCCTGGAAAGCCTGGCAATGGTCATTGGCGGTTCAACTGAGCAAAATATCAACAAGGTCTTTGCAACTGTTCCCCCAAAGATACCAGCAAGAAAAAAGACAATGAGAAAGGTGGGGTGCATGGCTGGTGGGGGTGTTCTCGCAACACACGCAGGACAGGTACCTACCCAGAAGCGTCAAAACGCAGGCAAGTATTGCGATGAGAGCTCCCGTGCTGAGACCTGCAGGTAGAACGTAGGCCTCAGCGTTGCAGGTCTGAGCTATCCCATCTGCATCACAGTCACAGACCCGGATGGTGAGGGTGTTGGTGCTGCTGAGGGAAGGTGACCCGCTGTCGACGATGAAGATGGGCAGGTAGTAAACAGACTGCTCCTGTCTCCGGAAGCCATTCCTCCTGGTGAGAACGGAAGCCGTGTTGTCTAGGACAGAGAAATCAAGTGTCTAAGGAGGTTGCTGACGGAGCCCGTTTTCCCACCCCTTCTGAGCTGAGCTCACTGTGCCCAGTTTCTTTTGACAAGAGCAATATTTCCAATGATTGGGTAATTTGTAATTCTAGAGTTATCATAAAAATGATAGTCATAAAATAAAAATAAATGTGCAAGTATTATGCATTGCTTATTATGATAACTACAACTTTCTAAAGATTGCAAAGAGTGCATCGTTCTGTAGATATTAAAGTTCAGACAAATGTATTCAAAGAATAGCGAAAGTGAACAGGTTAAATATTTTTACATATATCATTAACTTTGCTATTATAAGATGGCTCAGATGAACTTCACATCTACTGTATCTTTTGGGGGGAGTGCAGACACTCAGCAGTGCTCAGTGCTTACTTCTGTGCTCAAGCATCAGTCCTGGAGGTGCCCAGAAGATCATGTGGTACTGCGGATCTGAAACAGGGTCTGTTGCTTGCAAGGTAAATGCTGTAACCCTGATACCATCTCTCTAGTGACAAATCTATTTTTTCTTTCACAAGCCTTGAGCCCAATATAGAGACAGAGAAAAGAATCTATTCTGATTTATTTAATTCACATTCAGTAGTCTGTCCACAAGTCTAAATCACATTTCTGTGATGATTATACCAGAAATACATATAAATTTTTATATGCTGCCAAGTTATCCAGCTAACGTGCTTGAGTTTTAAGTGTATAAATGAGGTTCTTTACATTTACAGCAATTAGTGAATAATGTAAAAAAAAGGGAAAACCATATCACAATGCCAGTCAATGTACTTTATTATATGAAGCTGTCAAAACATATCTAGCCAATGTTACCAGAAAAAAATAACAATACTTTAACATTAGAGAACAAGTTGAACTTGAGTGTTCTGTTTTTCAATGGCACAAACCAACCACAGAAAGGAGACTGCTGAGAACATCCTACCTGCAACAGGAATTAGACTTTGATTTCCACACTTTATCTGGTCAGTCTTTAAGTAAGTCAAACTTTTGTTTGAAAATGTGGGAATCTAAGAAGTTATTTAAAAGCTAAATGTGGAGTTAAGAATATTGTGTCTTAGAAACACACATCGATGTCCTTGTTTTCCTCCCACTCACCCATATTTTTGATTTGCGATATCAACTTTTTCAGAGTCTATTTGTAATGTGACATGCCCAGCACTGAATAACAAACACATACATGTCCAAACTGAGAGGAGAATTTAGTGTCTGAAAGAATATATATAATTCATCTTTTCTGCATGTACCTCCTCAGGTGAAAGCCAAAAAGAAGAACTGATACTCTCCTACTCCAACTTTTCCTTAAAAGTTCAGATTAGGTGACTGTGAGTGCAAGCTGGAAAAGACTTGGTTTGGTAGACCAGATGGCCAATAAAGCTGGGGATTTTCCTGCCTGAATTGTCCACATATTGTGGTAGTGTGTTGGTTGATGAGAAGGTTACCAAGGAATCTAGTTAATTTAATGGCCCACTTAAAATCTCACTAACATGATGTTGGCCAGTCAGAGAGATAATGGAAATGGCTAAGAGGCAGGAATAAGAATGCTAAAAAGGAAGAACATGGCTGGCAGGTTAACAATCTCTTGAACCCTCTCTTCAACCCAGCCAGAGGGCAAAAAAAGAAGCATAAGTCTGAAGAACCACGAAAAGCCAAAGGGATGGAGAGCAGTAAATGCAAGGAAGGAGAAGCAGACACAAAATTTTTAGAATACACCTGGAGGACAGTGGTGGACTTCAAGGGACAAAACTAGTGAAAGACCAGTGTGGATATAGGTATGAGATAGTAAGGGGTCCAAAGCTATATGCTGTTAAATAATTCCAACTTTATTTTCTAATCTTATGCACAAAATTCAAGCAGTGAATTTTGAAATTAAACCAGTTTGGTTATAACAGTATTGAATATTGAAATTAAACCAGTTTGGTTATAACAGTATTGAATATTGACATAGAGGAACTATTCATTGGTTTCCTAGAAAGGTCATAAATCTCCCTCCCTGTGTTGAAACTGGATGCATCCAAGTGCTGAGAACTGCTTTTTCCAATTGTGATTAAGTCAGAGAGTTGGGGATTCCTTATCCTGGGGATTGTTCTGCCTTTTATGTTACTAAAGGGACAGATAGTGTTCTCATTAAGCAGAGAATAGAATCAGGAAAAATTATTATTTTCAGACTGACATTTTGAGGCCAAACTTGGATTTTCTGTATTAAAAAAGTTGGTGGCTTCAGGCAAAAGCACTTCTAATGTCCATCTTCTGAGAACAAGTCTTTTTAGATAAGTTAGTATCTGACTAGCAAATCTACATTGTTTTTCTGAATCCTGAGTCACCTATCCACCTGAATGAAATATTACATTTTCCCATGTGTTGGGGAGAATACAATTCTTCACATCAACAGCAAATATTCTTCTCTGATAATGGATGCCTGAATGAAAACCAATGTGGATATATACATTTGAAATTAGTAAGCAGCAGCTTCTTCGATTTCTTTGTAAGTTTTTATAACTGTGTGCTTGTTTGTATGTGTGGGTATGTTTAAATATACGTATTTAAGAGAAACGTAATTTACTTAGAGGTATTTGTAAAACTGATTCTGTAATGAAATTTACGAAACAACAGAAGCAAAGAAAGGGGATTTGGAATAGGGAATTTTGATTTATTTTTATATTGCTTTTTGTTTTGTTTGGGGGTCACATGTAATGGTGCTCAAAGGGCTCTGTGCTCGGTGCTCACTCCTATGGGGTTTGATGGATCATACGGATGCTGGAACAAAACTCAGTTTGGCCATCGGCAAGGCAAGAACCCCACCTTTTTTACCTTCTCTGCACCTCCTATTTTATATTTCTTTTACAAATAAATCATGCATCACACATATTCTATATGTTATGTGTATTATAAAAATTTTTGTATTTTACCAGGTTGAAAAATTCATCTTTGCACTAAAAACTGGGCTGGAACAATAGCTCAGCAGGTAGGGCATTTGCCTTCCTCGCAGTCATCCTGGCCAAGCCAGGTTCGATTCCTCTGCCCCTCTCGGAGAGCCCAGCTAGTTACCGAGAGTATCTCGCCCACACAGCAAAGACTGGCAAGCTACCCATGACATATTCATATGCCAAACACAGTAACAAGAAGTCTCAAAATGGAGACGTTACTAGGCCCACTTGAGCAAAATCAATGAACAGTGGGAGGACAGTGTTTTTTTTTTTGGTTTGACACTAAAAACATTAAATCATAGTTGAGTTGATTTAGTATACACTGATTTAGTATAGGCTAAAAGACCAATAATTTGCAAGTCTCAAGCTACACCTATGAAGCATTTGCTCACTAGTACCTTTATCTGGTCACCAACCAGTTAGATAATCTGGATAAGCAGCTTGAAGTACAAACGAGAAAGCAAATGTCTGGAAGGAAAGACAGGGAGAGATAGATCTGACTCCCCACCCCTGTTTGGCTCGAAGCCTAAATGATTTAAGTCTCAGTTTCTTCTTCATGACAGAAAATCCATAGATAAAAATTACTTGAGGGGCTCATTGCCCTTTAATTAATGTCCTTGCTGGTTAAAAAAAAAAATCCATAATCAGCATTCTTGAGAAAAAGAAAGTACTTACTTGGAGCCTTTATATCTGCGGCTTCCACAGGTAGCAATCACAACACTTACCTTTGTTATCTTTTAATGAAAAGTTGTGGTTATTCGTTGCCTCTGTGGTTAAGCTGAAATAAAACTGGTGGCCATTGGAGGGTTCGTCTTTATCAACGGCACTGATTTTCTGGATCACCTGTGAATAGGAATTGGAAACTGTGAGTTGCTGGTGGTGCCCTCTGCTGTCTCCTGGGGCCATGCAGAGCCAAGCTGTGACTTAGGAGTACATCCGAGTTTCCGGAAGGAGAGGAGAGAGTGTGTGCATGCCATAAACCCAATCTAAAAAGGGCTCTGCAAAATAAATCATGTCCTTTTCAAAATTCATGTGTGAATTTACTTCTGTAAACCTCAGCAGTAAGCTGTGCCAACTGATTAAACCATCCAAGCACACATCACACGACACGGACAATAAGGAGAGTAAAACACACCCCACGAAGATTGAGCTTCACTCCATTCTCAGATCTTCAAGGTCCTTAAGCCCAATGTGGGAAACAGCCCAATCAAGCCCGCTATGCTCTATTTCTCCTCAAAAGGGACTAAGCCCCGACCAGGACTTTTACCATATAGACACACTCCTCCTGAGAAATTTTCATCATCCCAATTAAACCAGAATTTCAAAGTTCCTTTAATATTAGTTTATGCTACACATCAAAGTGTTGGTTTTGCAGAAACATGCTGATTATAGTTTATCTTAAAGCTGGCAGAATTTCAAAGGCTCCCGCCGCTGGATATTTTGGAAGCAATTACACACACACATACACACACACATACACATACACATACACACACACACACACACACACACGGAGAAACATCCTCGGCAGCCTCTCACCTGTCCTGGTTGTGCATTCTCACAGACTGTGGTCTCGTAGTCCATGGCAAACTCAGGGGCATTGTCATTAATATCCAGGATGGTAATGGCCACGTAGCCTCTTCCTACTTGGGATGGATTCTCTAAGAGAGAAGAAATACTGTATCATTTTCTCTGGTTCTCAAACTAGGGGCACACTGCTGTTTTACTCGGAAACATTAGCAATTAGAATCAGGGTCCAGAGAGATAATACGGTGGGCGGGGCGCTCGCCTTGCAAGCAGCCCACCTGGGTTCGATTCCTGCTACCATATGTGGTCTTAAGTCCAGCCAGGAGTGATTCCTGAGTGCAATGTCAGAAGCAATCCCTGAGCACTGCTGGGTGTGTCCCCTCAAACAAACCAAAACTGAGTGACTTGCGCAGCTGAAGCACAATTCTAACAAGAAAACGAGCGAGTCTCAAATAAAGCTTAGCACCATGCACTGTAACTCTAAAGGGCGTTATAGAAAATTTGGTCTAAATAGTACATAGATGACAGAGATGGTGACAGGTACAATTAATGTAGGTAACATTTAGTCTCTGGTGAGAAAACTATTACAAAATGACTATGAAGTCTGTATTTCAGTATTTATGGTTACTATTTGCATCAATATATACAATTAATATATGTACATAATTAATATTAATATATATTAATATATGTCTCTTCATGTATTTTTTTATGAAAGAGTAAAGTGAATTCAAAACCAGAATGTCTTAGAAATCAGTTATTGAATTTAGCAAACTATTTTCCCAATTCTCCATCAGCAGAAAGGTAGCTGACCAAAAACAACAAAAATCATTAGGAGGGCACCTCTGGCCTGAAATTTGTAGTCATCTCTTTGTAAGTATTAACATAAATTTTGTGCTCATACATATATTTCACAGCTTGAAATTAGACACATTGCCTCTCTACTATTTGATTCTCACAAAATATATGAGGTCATACAGCCCATTCTCAAAGGCATCTTTATAATTTAAGTCTTACAACTTACGGCTCTCCATTGCAAGGACTGTGATATTATGGACAGCATTTGTTTCTCGATCCAAAGATTTGGCGGTGGTAATAACACCACTGTTGGCATCGATATTGAAGTATCTCTCCAAGTCTGTGTTTCTGTCAATTGAATACCTAATTGGACATTTAAAAAATTATGTTTGATTATAGTTTGCTATGTTAATTGCATTAAATGTAACCACTGTTCTTAAATAAAATCACCAACTGTCAGTATGCTGTTTTTAAAAATGCATGAAACACAAAAAGAAGAGACAAGGAAGCATTAAAAAAGAAAATGACACATCGGCAAATATTTGTGTCTGCCTGCCGGTAGAGAGTTTGGGGTTGAGCATATAAAGACATTATTACTCAATAGATTTTACTTTCTCAATGGCATATGAGACAAGGTTTTCCATTGAGAACTAACATGAAAAAAGCTGAAATAATGGAGAGTTGTGTCATTTTTCTAATGAAGACACACACATACATATACATACATGTGTAGGCACACATATATAGTAGGTATATATGTACAAAACTTATAATGCATTCTTTCTTCTCAATTACATATGTGCATATATTGCCTCAAATACAAATATATACACATTTACATAAATATGCATACAGGAATTAAAATATGATAGCATTGTAACCATTGTAACCTGCCCAAAGGATCCATCTGTCCTTTGAGGTCTCTGGTCATTAATTTAACCAAAAATCGGTCATCTTGTTATCCTCTTTGTTCATCCATGTACTTAAAGATATCTGGAAGCAGATATCTAAACTACCATGGACACTAGAACACTTTTCCTTGGTAATTTAATTTTCCTTAGTCCCCTGGCTTAAGTACTACCTTTATTTTTGATCACTCCCAAATGTATACACAGTCACCTAGACTCAGATTACTATACTGAGTCACCTACTCGATTTCTTTATTGAGCCACCCACTTAATCTATAAGGAGTTCCAATAAGAACCGATTTGTAATTGTCAGAGGATCCTATAACTCCCCAGTCTCTTCCTCCTACCTTACTCCATCTGAATGAATGCCATTACCAGTCACGTGATTACTCAAACTAAACCTCTAGGACTGTTTCTTTGTTTCCTGTTCCCTTATCCATGCATCCAATTTCTCGGCAACTTTTCTCAAGTCTAAGTTACGGCTTTCTGGAGCCTCTCAATTACACATGATTTTTCTCTTTATCATCATATTTTCTATTTTATTGGCTACAATCCATTTTTCATGCATCAACGATCCAAACAAATTTTATTGAATGCAGAGATATTAATTTGCAATCACATACAAAAGATAGATTTTCTTCCCTAAAGGCTACATTATGCAAGATATTTGATGCCAGTATTTAATGTTATTATCACCTATGTACAACTAGGTATGCATATGTAAGTGTGCATATACATATACATTTATTTTTATATATAAACACATGCAATGGTATGTTCATCTAATGATAACAGGACAATTGATGTTTGTCAAAAAGAATATGAGTTAATACAGATGCAGCAATTAAGTCAACACTAAAACCCTGAATTGCTTATTTTCTGAAATCACGGCAATATCTGCATATTCAAAAACAAATCTATTCTTTCTCATAAGGCAAAAGTCCTTTGAGTTGGAATTAATAAACATGATTTTCTGTAGACCTGAAGTCAATAACAAAAATATTTGCCTCTATTATCAATAGCGTCAAAGTTCCCATCAATCAGAGAACAGAAAACTTGGTAACGAATTTGACAACATATTGAATGTCTCTGATTTAGAGTTTCTTTATTTTGTTTTAATTAATCTTTAATTTTTTTTGAACCACACCTGGTAATGCTCAGAGTTTACTCCTGGCTCTGTGCTCAGGGATCACTCCTGGCTGTGCTCAGGGAAACAAAGCTGGTGCCAGGGAATCAAACCCAGGTCAGCATCATGCAAGATAAGCACAGTACTTGCTGCAGGTACTTCCAGTCCCTCTAAATCTCTAAACTAGGTCTTTATATGTTTTGAAGATGAATGGATACTAATGCTTCTATGAAATATTTATCATTTCTAGGTCAGGAGAGACAGCTCATTGTACTAGAGCTCATGCCTTGCAGATGGGAATGGAGGGTTTGATCCCTAACATTGTATCATCTCCCATATAGAGAGGGAAGCACAGCCCCAGAACACCACCAGGCTCATAAACAAATCAACAGGGTCAGAGTGATAGTAAACCAGGTAAGGCAGTTGCCTTGCAATTGGCCAATTCAGGTTCAGTCCTCATAGGGTCTCCAACAGATGGCATGAATGATCTTGGAGTGCAGAGCCAGGAAGCACACCGCTAAGTGTGTTCCTTATCCCCAAGCAAGCAAACAACAACAACCAAAGAAACTCATAAACAGCAATTCATTTCTAAACCATCAACTCTATAGATCTCAAGAATAACATGTAATTTAATGTTACAATCTTTTGCTTAGAACTCATGCAAAGCAGTCTTAGAGAATATACAACATACATAGCTATATATTTGTTCCTCTGAATAATTCTGACATTCTTATCTATGCCTCCTTTTCATTTATTCATGCATCCAGCAATTATTATTGAACACCTGCACGTGACGTTCTATTTTAGGAAACTCAGTACATAAAATATTCTTAAAAATAGCAACCTATTATAGGCACTTAGGAGAAAACCAGCAAATTCTATCCTGGTGTAGGATGGAGAGTCTCTTAGCTGTGCGGAGAAAAGGCAGTGCTGGCTGGGGCAGAGATGGACCCGGACAGGAGACTGAGTCCAAAACAGTCGGTGGCCATTGTGTTGCTTAGTCTCAGGATCCTAGGCTCATACCGGAAAACCACGTGCCACTTTCCAAGGATCTTCTCTGAACATGTCAAAAACTAGTCTATGTATGAGACATTAGCTCATAAAAAATAAATAAATAAATAAATTCTCAAAAAAAAAAAGAAAGAAGTCACTTGAGAAAATGCCTTAGCAAAGAGAAATGAAGAAAATGCAGGCACTTTTCTTGGTTTGTTTCATTTGTGTTTCTTTGGAAGTCATTTCCAACAATGCTCAGGGGTTACTCTTGGTTCTGCGCTCAGTATTCATTCCTGGTTCTGCTCATGGGACCATACACAGTGCCAGAGATTGAACCCAGGTCAGTTGTGTGCAAGGCAAGTACCCTACCCACTGTACTACTTCTCAGACCCCAGAAAATGTGCGTGCTCTTGAGAGAGTGAGATGTACAATTTTCTTAGCTTTGCATGGGCTGGGGGGGGAGGGGTCTAAAGAAAAGTGAGATTCTAATGAAAATAAGGGGAGGCCCTTTATTTGGTGCATTTCTGGAACCTCTGCCCCAATGACTGTCAGAGGCTCTAAACAGGCAGAGAGAGGGTTGGTATTAAGTCCAGAACTTCTGCTGCGTGGAGTGCCCCTGAGCCCTCTGGTTTCTGCACCGTGTCTCCTTGAACCTCCGGTTTCTTTCATTGCACGGTAGAACAGCCAGTTCGGCCAATGCCCTATTTCTGCAGTAGCAGCAGTTCAAGTTTTGCCCACTCCATTTATTATGCAGACGGCTCCAAATCCCAAAGCCCAGCATCAATTCTTTTCTTGAGATTTTGTAAACGACTCCAGATACCTGAAAAGACCTTTAACCCAAGTTCAATATGCCCCAAAGCAGAATCATCAATCTTTCTCCCAATCTGTCCTTCCTTCGGAACACTGTCATTTCTGAGAGTCTGTTGAGTAATTAAAACATAGTTTCTATGTATTTTTTCATAATACTCAAATGATTATGTGAGGTCGTGTTTGACAGATTTTACTTGATTCTTTAATAGCCATTTGCTCTTAATTAACAGAGCCCGGCTTATGTTACAGGACATCGTATGTCCTGCTGAATTTACCAGCCTCCTTGTAACTAAACTTGTGGAAAAGTGATGCAAGAGAAAGTGGCTGGGTCACGCATCACTGAAAAACCTTTTAAAAAAGAGAGCAGCTAATTGGGTTGGCCTTGTATTCTGCCCCTCCTCCTTTCTCTCACCTGAATGGAAGAGGATCCAAAGTCAGCACAGAAATATGAGGTAATGAGTGTCTGATCAAAGAAAGCAAAGCCCTCGATGGCACTGCACTGCCAAACCATCAGTCCTGTGTGTGTGACTCCAGACTGCTCATTAGTAAGTCATCAGAATTCACCTTTGTTGGTTTTATTCAAGTACGAAGTTTCAAATTGAGGCAAGTAGGTAATGCTACTGCCGTTCGGTTTGCTACTAATGGATCCAAGGTTCAGAATCATGTCTGTGGGTGTTGTTTGTGATGTGTGTGTGAGTGTGAGTGTGTGTGTGTAGGAGAGTAGGATATATATATATTTATATATATATATATGTACGCATACACACATAAAATGAACTCCTAATGCTGAATCACAGAGAAGTAGGGAAACTCCTTTTATAGGCCCTATATTACAGGCAATATATATAAATCATAGGCTATATATATATATACACATTATAGACTATATATTATACATTATAGGCAATATACCTAGAAAAAATATATATGTAATACCTATAATAAACTTGGGCTGGAGCAATAGCACAGTGGGTAGGGTATTTTCCTTGCACAAGGCCTACCTGAGCTACCTGAGTTTGATTGCTCCACCCCTCTCAGAGAGCCCGGCAAGCTACCGGAAGTGTCTCGCTCACATGGAAAAGCCTGGCAAGCTATCAGTGATGTATTCGATATGCCAAACACATTAACAATAAGTCTCACAATGTTACTGGCCACTCGAGCAAATCGGTGAACAACGGGAGGACAGTGACAGTGCATAATGAACTTACCCTACTGCTCTGTGATTCAGCATTAGGGGTTCATTTTATCCATTGTTAATGTATCTGAAACCCTCAATAATATTCATGCACTGGTGAAGAAAAACACCTCGTCTTCATCTTCATCCCATTATTGCCTTCTTTCCACTTCTGTCAGGCCTGTTTCCTAAAGATAGTCCTCCAGTACCAAAGCATCCTGCCTCTCCAATGAAGTCAGAGTTCATGGTTAGTAGGCCTGATTCATGGCCTTTAGCACACACTCTTGGTGATGTGCCATCATGAACCAGAGACTGAAATTGAAGACCCGTATTTCTAGTGTTTACCCTAGAA